AAAAAAAAAAAAAAACTGATAAAAAAAAAAAAATCCCCCAACCTTTTGCTGAGACTGTGCCTGTTGTGGTAATGATAGCTGTTCAGTTGCACCCATAGGGAGTTCAAATCTTGGGCTAGGAATTACAAAAAAATTCATATGGTTATAATTAATGTAGAAATCACACATATGAATGTATATGCAGAAATTGCAATCACTGATACTCACTGCATAAATTTGCAAGACTTGCCCTCCGGACAGAAGCCAACAAGGTAATTTACACAGATGACTCTTCTTGTGTGTCTGTGCCTGCAATCCGGACCTAAAGGGAAGGTGAGGGGAAAAGAAAAGAGTTATTTTTTCCTATTACAATCAATTTTTAAATATTTGTTAAGAAATCATGTAATTTAACTAAATTCACTGTAAAATAATGCTGATTTATACAACTACTCTAAACGCAAATACTTGGAAATCTCTGCAAAAGACCTACCATGCTTACAAAAGCCCCTATCATACCATGGGCAATCTTTAATCTTAGATTCTGGGTCAATGTGCAAAAATGGACACTCTTTATTACTGCACTCCCCTGCAAAAACACAAATAAATTATCAACACTATTAACACACATAGAGAACAATAGATAGATAGATAGTGGATAGATAGATAGATAGGTATTAAAATACTAACCAAATTTAGAGTAGAAATAACATTCAGGCATCTTTGTCATGTCATACTCATGTAAAAATTCACATTGGTCTCCTTTCTTGCATAAACCCCTAAGCCAGTGCTTGCACACCACAGTCTTTTCTCCACTGATGTGTCTGAAAGGACACATTCCACCTGTCAAAAGAGAAAGCTGATCAAATAGTCTGATCAAAGAAACAAATCTGATTTACACACGAAACCCTTAAACAAGTTTTTGTAACACATGCCTTTCATACAGGCAGCTCTCATGAAGAACTCGCACACAGCTGCGCCAGATTCTGAAAAATAATATCATTTTGCATCATTATTAAAAGTCTTCTCTCCTAAACGATACTTATCTAGAAATGCATCGTATATTTTGAAAATAATAAATCAGAAACACAATTGTAATTGAACATTTAAAACAAATACTAATCAATGCTCCTATTAACTTACTATCCATTCCTGGAAATGGCAATGGTTGAGCGCCTAATTGTTGTTCTACAGCAATTTCTAGATCAAACTTGATATGATCGACAGTCGCGATTAATTCCTGCATTTTGGTAGTATATTTTGTATATTTCTACCAGCAGCTGAAACGCTTCTCTTTATAACACCTAATCAGAAAACTAAAAGAAGTCTTAATGGCTAACAACTTATCAGTTTGCCGTTGGTCAGGTTTAATTCTAGACGTAAAATGACAAAATAGCGAAAAAGTATGCAGACTTATTAACTGGGTGAACAGTCTTTAATGTAGCTCATGAGTAAATCGGTAAAGATAAAGATAAACATTGTAAATAAACAGTTGATTTTAGAACCGTCTACTTCCACAGCGCTATTCACGAGTGACCCCTGAACTCCAGGCCATGCGATCGAGTACAATTGCATCGATTTTCTGGGTCCGAGCGAATGCAGGTTTTAAAATGAAGATGAGTAATTTTTTCATATTAATATTACAAAGTGTGTCAACGAACTTCTAGTGATTTGTCGTTAGATTGCAACTTTGAACTTTGATGGCACAAAGAAAATACGACAGGATGGTCATGATCAGTGTGTTGGTTGTTGATTAAAAGGTCTGCTGTAGTTCCTAGCGCCATGTAGCGCCCTTAACAATTGGACTATAAAGCGTGCTGACTGTGGAGTGCCAGAGGGACCTATTGACTAGCTGACCTGAGATTACGAAAAAAAATACGATAAGCGTATTAAATGAGGCTTATATTTCATAGATGTAAACTACCAACCAGAAGCTTTTTTTCTGTTGTTCTTAAAGAAATCCAAACTATATAGATTCTATCATGTTCAGGATACCAGTACTCAATAAATCGGAATATTTTTGTGAAATGACAAAGCCTTTTGTGTTTCTACACGTATTTTCTATTTAATTTTTAAAAACCTCTGGCTAGCTTATATTGTCTAAAATGAAGGAAAAAAAAAACGAAAACATTTTATTTAAAATATATTTCTTTACTAATATTCTCGTCGTGTCAGTTAATTTAAAATGATTTAAAACACAAAGATTTGCCCAGCTCGTCCTGAACTTAACTATTAATAAAATTAACTATTTTGTATATTTTTACCTTTCATCCTAATTTCAGTTTGATTTATTTCCCAGATGTTCCCTATAGATGATGAAATTCTTAGTTTCAGTTATACATTTATGTATTTCATTTCATGCATGTAGTTTTTAAGCAAAGAAAATAAAGAACATAGCTGACAAATCAGGGAGACTTTCTGACATGTACGTTTTCATCTTTGTTTTGAAAAAATGAAGTGATAATTATGAAAAGGTCAGGATATGGAGATGTACCCTCATTCCTTCCAAGACAAAGCTTTTTTTCAAACCCATTTCATTTTTCTAACATCAGTTTCATTAAAAGATCTTTCTTAAGCCTGCTAGGGACTGATCTGCAAACTGGTATTTTCCATTGATATTAGGATATTTTTGTTGCCACTCTGCAGTGGGTAGACAGTCATCAACGCACATGTAAAATAAATAATTCCAAGATTCATACAACAATTAAAAAAAAATTACATACAAAAATCTGATTTGTATTTGTATGGGATGAGATATTTTACCTGATTCCTTTTACCAGAGCATGCTTATAACATATTTCATAAAAGCACACACTCAAAGAAAGAGATACAGTACCCAGAACGATTAAGATACATCAGTTTAATAATAATAAAAAAAAAAGCATACAATCAATCATATAATTTGAAAAGATCCAACATCATAATGACACCTCCATAAATGTATTAGAAATACAAATCAAAGTTCAGTAATTTCAGAAAGTTGTTGCCGTCTTCTTGACTCATCCAGAACATCCTCTGCATCCACAGTGAGTGCACTCAATGATGCGACCCTAAGAAAACAAAAGAATAAATTAGGAACAGTGACATACAGTAAATAATGGGACAGCTTTTAGATGAAAAACCAAATAAAACAAAACAAAAAAACAAACATCTGACAGATGTGTAGGACTTTGAATAAATTAAACCACCTGTGATGTAAGGGGTCAAATTGACCCAATCACTTTTTTGGTGAAAAAAAAGAAAAGATTAAACATTATATGCAGAATAATTTTCTGTTGTGTTTTACCTTTTCCTGATGAATCTCTCTCATGAGAGGCTCTATTGCCTCTCATGACAAAATATCTAATGAGTAAGTATCATTTATGCCTTGACAAAAATTTACATTTTATTATTACTGTACTGCATATGAAGGCCAATTTTTGTCCTTTTCAGAATTTCATATGCCTTTATCTACTATTTCATACAATAATGTGTTTAAAAACACTGTACACACATTTTTACAAGCATCTATCAAAAATTTTTGTTGTTGGGTTTCCATATTATATGGGGACTTTCCATAGACATAATTTTTATACTGTACTAACTGTATTTTCATTCCCCTAACCCTCTGCAGTTTTACATTTCCCCCAAAAAATTAAAAGCTGTTTTCCTCATGGGGACCAACTAAATGTCCCCACAATGTCAAAAAATTCAGGTTTTACTGTGGATGATGTGAGTGATTTAGAGTAACAAATCTCAGAAACTGAGGACAATGTTTTTTCCTATGTAAATGAAACAATTAAATAAACAAATAAAATATATAAAAAACAAAAAGTCATGCCTTATCTTAATTTATTTAAAATATTGGGTAGGTAAAGTGTAAGTAAATAAAAAGAAATTATATTGTCAATTTGACTAATTTATTGACATATTTAAATATTTGGGGTCAATTTGACCCCACACATTAAAAATATGGTTGAAATTTGCACATAACAGGGGAGTTAAACAGCTTTAACACTGCATAACTTACCACTTCCAGCTTGCCTTTGGGAACTCTGCATATGCAATTTGTTCCAAAGTTTGTGTCACGCGTCTGAATGCACCGCAGACAGCACAGATTCTCATAGCCCTGTTTTTTCCATTTGGCAATCAGATTCTTGTCTGCATAGCCCTCTTTGATGCAATATTCATAAAGCTCTGCGAATGAAAATAAGTTAACATCTCGCATAGAAACAGATGTCGAAATAAAACTAACACAACAAAACTGCACCTCACCACCATACCTCGACTGATGGCCTTTCTCTTGTAGAAAAGGTCGAAAATGTAACGGCTGCGTTGGTGATGAAGTCGGAAGATTGGCCATTGGGACTCAACTTTACGTTTGCCCTCGTGTGGCTCGGTTTCAGCTGTGAAATTAAAGCATCAGTTAACGGCATCGTAGCAAATGCAAAATAATCGATAACCAACAGATACATAAAAAGAGTGACAATTAACTAATTTTCTGTTTTAAATGAACAAATCACACGTGCATATTAATGTTACATTACACGAACATCCACTCCGTTTAATTAAACGTCCGTAATAAACAATCGACTTGTTAGCTTTCTGGCTAACGTTTGCTGAACGAACCTTCGCGCATTTTCTGGTCCAGCTCGTCAAGAGTCGGCTCTATGAGCTCCCAACCATCTGGAGGTGGTTTCCTACTCCTTTTCACCTTAGGCATTATTTTATTTAAACAATATAAGGTCCTCTCAGTTATTTAGCAAACAGCGAGCCGCTGCAGGAAGAACTTCCCCGATTTCTGTCGCCGAGCGGATGACGTCACGCCAGAGGTCCTTTTACTCTAATTATTCTCAGCATTATTTTATATATATTTTAATGGAGATTCCTTTGCTAAAATGGATGGCATTACACCTCGACTCTTTTACGTATCAGCAATGGTTTTATCATGTTGAAACTGTGATGTTATTCTCTCTTCCAGCATATTGCATCAGGCTAGGTGTCTGATCGAGTGCCTGAGTTTAAATATAGGAACATGGACCAGCTGGCTATATGCTAATCGATGACTGTACCTGCTTAATCGTGGGATTTTGTATTTGTTTTAGTTACTGTTTCGCCCTCGAGCCAAATAAAACCACGTATTTAATTACTGCCATTTAGTATCAACAGAGCTGGATACGCGACCTGATATCATACCTGTAACTACCACGCTTTTGTTGGGACTGAGAGTGTGTTTTAGTCGACTGTTGTGTTTTCATATCAAGTCAAGTTTAATCTTCATCATGCCTAAAGGAGGTAAGAGATCATTTCGTTGTGGCAGCACACGTCATTTTTTATTTTTTTCCTTTAGGATTATCAACAAGTATACAAAAATATACAACCCTAGTAACAACAAAATCACAAAACAAAAAGAAATAAAGTTCCAGCATATTGCATCAGGCTAGGTGTCTGATCGAGTGCCTGAGTTTAAATATAGGAACATGGACCAGCTGGCTATATGCTAATCGATGACTGTACCTGCTTAATCGTGGGATTTTGTATTTGTTTTAGTTACTGTTTCGCCCTCGAGCCAAATAAAACCACGTATTTAATTACTGCCATTTAGTATCAACAGAGCTGGATACGCGACCTGATATCATAACTGTAACTACCACGCTTTTGTTGGGACTGAGAGTGTGTTTTAGTCGACTGTTGTGTTTTCATATCAAGTCAAGTTTAATCTTCATCATGCCTAAAGGAGGTAAGAGATCATTTCGTTGTGGCAGCACACGTCATTTTTTATTTTTTTCCTTTAGGATTATCAACAAGTATACAAAAATATACAACCCTAGTAACAACAAAATCACAAAACAAAAAGAAATAAAGAAAAAAAACAACAACAACAAACATACAGGGCCAGGGGTAATATAGATTACATTATATAAAGTAAAGGTGCCTCAAAAGGCACGGCAGCACACGTCATGAGCTCGTGCTCGTTTACACACTGTCGTCATCGTCTGTTCTGCTGATTGACGTCATTGTACTTGTAAACAGAATATTACGTGTTAACAGGATATTTTCATTGAGAACAATATTATTAGAAAGTGGCTTCCCATGTGATTTTTTAAAATTGTTTATTTTAGGGAAAAAAGGTGGCCATAAAGGTCGCATGAGAACCTACACAAGTCCTGAAGAAATAGATGCTCAAATGAAAGCAGAAAAAGAGCGAAAAAAGGTAAGCTGTATTACAAATTCAGACGGAAATATGAAAAATCTTAAGTGATATGGGAAAGAATGAGGTTGACACTGAAAGCAAGCATTAACATTTACGCAAAAGAGATGAAACAGTCGACATGAAATGGAAATTCACTCTGCTTTCTAATTTCATGTTATTGATCCCACTGTCAATAATTCATTCGTGTATATATTTCATTTCTTAAAAACAAAATTGTAATAAGATTCTCTCTGGTGACGTTAGGCAGACGTGTCCAGTCATTTAGTTCACTTAAACCCCGTCCCTTTCTTACAATCAGCTGCATGCTCACATTCAGCTTGGTCTCCATTCAGTCAATAACTGATGGATAGAACCAAGTCCTGGCACTACATTTTATTTTTTCAATAATCTGTTTTACTCAGATCACATCACCGTACGGAAGCTCTGTCGTTACTTCCATTACATCAAAACTTTATAGAACAGCAGTCTAAGCACAGCAGAAGATGATTGATTCACAAGAGCTCCACTCACTGCAACCACTTTCTGATTCAGTGCCCATCTGCAAGTCAAATTGGCTAAACAAATTAATTGTTGCATGTGGTAATGGTTTATTTTACATTGTAGAACGAAGAAGAAGAAGGTGCAGCAGTGAACGACAACCAGAGCGAGGACAAACTGACAGCATCAGGTTCAGAGGACAGTGACGATGAGGGCTCTCACGTAAGTTTTCTCTCAATGATGACAAGTCCATGTTCCTGCAGAGCTATCCACCTACTTATAGAGCCTCTTGCAGATTTATTTATCAGAGACGACCGTGGCAGGACATACGTCAGATACACTCTTACTCAGTCTAATTAATGTGGAATCTTATTGGGTGGAGCAGAGCATTGCTCTTTGATTAATCACTGTGTTTGGAATGTAGGAATTATATATGTGGAATGTCACAGTCACTGTCGTCAAATGGATGAAGTTTGGTTGCCGATACTTTAGCAGATGTTGTATCAAATAATTTGGTGCAGTTTTAGTAGGAGCTTTTGCATGAATGCACTAATGCCAATATGAAAACAAACTGATCTCTTGTCTCCATCAGTTTAATTTGAATATTATATACTTTTTTAGTATGTATTAATATTTTAAGTATTAAAATTTTTACGATTATATTTTAATTTAAAACCGTTTATGTTTTAGTAATTTTGTTATGTGTTTTTGTAATTTTTAGTATTTTTGTATTTCTGTTTAGCTTTTTTTTTTTTTTTTCAGTTTTAGCAATTGTAGTACTTCAGCTTTTTCATCTTAAAGGATTAGTTCACTTCCAGAATAAAAATTTCCTGATAAAAGAAATTAAGGTTTTTGATGAAAACATTCCAGGATTTTTCTCCATATAATGGACTTCAGTGGTGGTCAACGGGTTGAAGGTCCAAATTACAGTTTCAATGCAGCTTCAAAGGGCTCTACATGATCCCAGCCGAGGAATAAGGGTCTTATCTAGAGAAACGATCAGTCATTTTCTTAAAAAATAAAAATGTACATACTTTTTAACCACGAATGCTCGTCTTGCACTAGCTACACGATGCGTGTCCACAGATCATGCATGACGTATGCACGATGGAAAGGTCACGCGCGGTTAGCTCTTCGTCTGTGTACTCCAGTTCAAAAAGGTTGGGTAGGGCGAAAAACTCAATCCCATTTTCTCCTCCAACTTCAAAATCATACGACATCATTGTTTTACCTTGTTTTTTTTTTTGTAAAGGGCATTTGACTTTCTTTGCACATTCGCTTTGTAAACACTGGGTCGGTACTTCCACCTACTTTCCAACGTGACTATGTAATGAATGAAGTCGAGCTGGTGCAAGATGAGCATTTTATGGTTAAAAAGTAAATAAATGTTTATTTTTTTAAGAAAATGACAGATCGTTTCGCTAGATAAGACCCTTATTCCTCGGCTGGGATCGTGTAGAGCCCTTTGAAGCTGCATTGAAACTGCAGTTTGACCTTCAACCCGTTGACCACCACTGAAGTCTAAATCTATTACCACTGAAGTAAGAAAGACATCTTGGATGACTGATGGGGGTGAGTAAATTATCAGGAAATTTTTA